AGCTGTAAGTACTATGGTCACAGAGTGAGTGCTCAAAAATGGAATTTAACAAAGAATTCTGTTGTCATTTGCATTGTTTTTTCAAAAAGTTACGTTTGGTGCTGGGGGAAGGAAGACTGCTATGTACATGTGGATACGTGTACAGAAGCCTCTTGAAACAACATGTACACATTGGACCACGGCTGCCATGAGGAGAGGGGTGGGGATAGGATGGAGAATCACCCTGCTCAGTAGATGCTTTGTGCTGCCTGTCTTTGAATAAACAATAGAATAAAAGGAACACCCAGCAATTCTTCTGACATTGATGGTGCTTAAGTAGTCTTGTCAGCCAGTTGATAAGAATGCTTGAATATATTTATTTATTTAAGATTTTATGTATTTATTTTCGGAGAGAAACATCAATGTGTGACTTCCTCTCACGTGCCCCCACCAGGGACCTGGCCCCCAACCTGGAATCGAACTGGTGACCCACAGTTTGCAGGCTGGCACTCAATCCACTGAGTCACACCAGCCAGGGTGCTTTAATATAAAATTCAAAAAAATAAATTTAGTTTAAAAGGAATTCCTGCTTTGGAGAAGGACCTGACCATGACAGTATCACTAAGTACCCCCCCTCCCAACCCTTTTATAAATTATTTTTCATCCTCACCCAAGGACATGCTTAGAAGGGAGAGAAACCTCGATGGGTTGCCTCCTGTTCAGGCCCCGACCAGGATGGAACCCACAACCCAGACATGTGCCCTGACCAGGAATTGAACCCACAGACTTTCAGTCTATGCAGCAACCCTCCGACTGAGCCACACCAACCAAATGAGCCACATCGGCCAGGGCTAAGTTCTCTTTTCACTTAGAGACTCTATGAATCTGAATTGTCAGGGGAAGGTGGATGAGACAGGAGAGCCAGGGTACGCAGCAGGAGCAGGTCTTCATCCCCCCAATTGCCTTCCGGGTTCCCAGAGGGAAGGGGCCTCGGCCTCCAGCCGTGGTTATCAGAGGCAGAGAGCAGCAACCTGCAGCCCTGAGGCTTTTCTGCATGTAAACTTCACTCCTTTTACTTTCGGAACAGCAGAGGGGCAGGCACCCTCCACGCCATTATCCCTGTGCCTAGGGGGCTGTCAGCTCCGAGAGAGAAGCCGGAGAGAGAAGCTGGATGGACTCTGGGAAAACGCTGCCCACCCAGGCTTGGTTTTTGGAGGCCGAAACTGCCTCTGTCGGGAGTATGGACTTCCCTTTCGTCCGTAGAAACCAGTGGGAAGCTCTCTTCCCCAACATCCCTCGGGGGAGGTCCCATTCAGAAACAGGCTTGGTCTGGACAAGAGGGAAATTAAAGTGGAATGTCCCTCGATCTTTCCAGGGGCTGCTGCCCTGTCCGAGTCAGCTGACCTGGCCCCTGGGCACCTCGGCCAGCTGACTGCCACTGCCATCTTGCTTCCTTAGCTTGTGCTCACTTTGCCTTGACTCTGGCCCAGGCTGTGACTCATGTATTTAGCACTGATCCTTGGCGACCATCTTTTTCACGAATGGGGTCACCTGCCTTGCTTGCACCTTCAACCTGGTGCTGCCTACATCCCGGGGAGACGTGGTTATGTACAAGCCGAGGTCACCGAGGAAGGAGAAAACAAAATTCTGTCCTGCTTGATGAAATACCTGATTACCTGACGTTTTGCATAAAGGAAAATTTGCTTCAGAAAACAAATAATATATAAGTGCCTTTTAAAAAGGTGACTATCTGCTCAGCCTCGTTTGAGAATTTTTTTTCTTTAATCTCCATTGTTCAGGCTAATGATGCAGTTTGTGCATTAACCAGATCTTTTATCTTATTTTTGCCATCTGCTTTGTTTCTCTGTTACTTAGAAAGGGCTTTAATAGCATTTTCACCAGTGAGTAAAGAAACAAAAAAGTGACATTTAAAAATAAAAATTAGGGTGTTTTTTTTTTCACTATTAGCTTATCTGGTAAGTACAATTTAAAAGTACAATTTTAATCAGGAGTAAATTAGGTATGCTCTAAAAATGGCAGACTAGTGGATGGAGAATGACTCATTCACTGAGAACATTCAGAAAAGCTGCAGAGAAGACGAGACTGATTTGGGGGAACTAATACAGCACAGAATTCAGTACCCAAGGAGGTGCATCCAGCTTTGGGTCTACTCTTCTCCCGTAGCGTCTGCTTGTCCCTGAAAAAGCAACTGAAGGACAGAGAAGCTGAGCAGGTGCTCAGATGACCTTGAGGGGGGAACCTACAATGAAGGGGAGCTCTGGGGGTGGGTGGGGAACACACTCTGGAGTGGGAAGTTCAAGGGCCCAACCCTAGGAATAAGGAGGACCGGAAGGAAGCAAGCTTCCAGTCATCTCAAGGTGCATATTAGAGTGGCCTTACCCGGGACTGCTAGTGCCCCTAAACACCTGCCAAAAGCAAATATAAATAATTCTCTAGCAAAATAGAGCATGCATATGTTCAAATGGTTTCTGCAGTAACTGATATGCAATGTCTTACACACAATAAAAAATAGACTTACGAGAAGCCAAGTCAGTTGAAACCCAGGGAAACAACAGACAATAGAAACAGATCCATAAGGGATCAAAGTAATGAAAAAAAAATATATATATATATAATTTTCTGATTCTGGTTTCACAAGCCTTTTAGAAAAAAGATTTTACTTTCAGAAAGAGGGGAAGGAGAAACATCAAGGTGTGGTTGCTTCTCACACACCTCCCACTGGGGACCTGGCCCTCGACCCTGCCTGGCACATGCCCTGACTGGGAATTGAACTAGCAACCTTTTGGTCCGCAAGCTGGCGCTCAATCCACTGAGCTACACCGGCCAGGGCAAAATAACAAGAGTTCTTACTCAAAAGGGTAAAAATAACTGTGCTGAATGTCTCTAGAGATTCAAGACTCTAGAACTCAGCAAAGAATCGGAAACTATAAAACAAAAGTAACTTCAAATAGGATTAACAATAACCAAAATTAAGAGTTCAATACGAGTTTAATCTCATATTAAACTTCTGGAGAATTAATAAATCACAAGGCAGACTAGGAAAAAGTATCTAGCATGAAGCACTGAGACACAAGGATGGAAACCATGGAAGGGAAAGAAACAGATGTAGGGGGACTAAATTTTATGTAAGTGAAGTTCCAAATGAGAGGAAAGAGAATAGAGATGAAGAAGTATTTGAAGAGATAGAGATAATGGTTGAGAATTTTCCAAAACTGATGAAAGATATCAACTGCAGATATGAGCAGATTTATGAACGCCAAGCAAGATAATTACAAAGAAAAAAATCCTTAGCTATAACACAGTAGAACTTATAAAAACTGAAGACCGAGAGGAAAATAATTAAGTTCAGCCAGAGGAGAAAGACTTTCCAAAGGAAACTAAGATGAACAGCAGGAGTCTCAATCGAAACAGAAATTGAGAAGTACTTCGAAGGGGTCAGAACAATGAATTAGAAACTACATGATAAAATACCTTTATTCACTCATGCAACCAGGAGGTATTGTGCATCTACTGTGTGCCAGGTACTGTTAGACAATGGGGCAAAGAGCAAGGAAATGCCACTGTACTTAACTCAAGCAGCTCAATAAAGGTGCTCAACCTTTTCTTCGACAGCCTTGCTACACTTAAGTTACATACTCTCATTAAGTGGTTTCCTTAGGGTGCTCCTTGAAGGTGGGAGTAGAGGGCACACACCAGAATGTGAAGGTGTCTGTGGTTTCAAGACTCCCAAATGACACACAGTCCTCTCTCCTCACCCCACTGCAGGGCTTAATTACCAGTTTATTGAGAGAGAAAATGCAAACATTTGTGCTATAATATAGGAAAGCCATAAGCAATTAATCCACTCATTCAACATTGTGTTGTGATTAGCAATAAAGCCTGGTCCCTAACCCCAAGATCCTTAGTCACTAGGAGAGACAGCCCGAGATTAGTATTCACCCTTTAAAAAGAGGTAATTTTGAATACTGCATGATTCATTTATGTGAAGTATCTAAGTCACGCTGTAGCCAGGTAGCTTGCTTGGTTACAGCATCACCCTAACGCACTGGGCTTGTGGGTTCTATCCATGGTCAGGGCACCTGTGGGAATCAGCAGTGAGCGCATGAATGGGTGGAGCAACAATTTAGTGTTTCTCTCTCACCCTCTTCATATCTGAAGTAACATGGAAATATTACTTTAACAAATAATGAAGGAGAACTTCCCCAATCTGGCAAAGGAAATAGACTTCCAAGAAGTCCAGGAAGTCCAGGAAGCTCAGAGAGTCCCAAAACAGTTGGACCCAAGGAGGAACACACAAAGGCACATCATAATTACCCATGGGTAATAATGAATCTTACCCAAGATTCAAATAAAGGAGACAATCCTAGAAGCAGCAAGAGAAAAGGAGACCGTTACCTACAAGAGTTCCCATCAGACTGTCAGCTGATTTCTCAAGAGACCTTGCAGGCAAGAAGGGGCTGGAAAGAGGTATTCCAAGTCATGAAAACCAAAGACCTATAGCCAAGATTGCTCTATCCAGCAAAGTTTTCATTTAGAATGGAAGGACAGATAAAGTGCTTCTGAGATAAGATCAAATTGAAGGAGTTCATCATCACCAAGCCCTTATTATATGAAATGTTAAAGGGACTTATCTAAGAAGTTAAAGAAACATGAACAGTGAAAGGACAACAAACTCACAGTTATTAACAACCACACCTAAAACGAAAGCAAACTAAAAGGACAGCTAGATCAGGAGTGGAAACATAGAAATGAAGATCTCAAGGAGGGTTAGCAACAGGGGAGTGGGAGGAGAAGGGGGGAGAAGGTACAGAAAATAAGTAGCATAGATAGCAGGTAGAAAATAGGGGGAGGGTAAGAATAGTATGGGAAAAATAGAATCTAAAGAACTTGAGACACGTGTTCATGAACTAAAGGGGGGGAATGGCGGGGGAGGGGCGTGTAGGGTGGAGGGGAATGAAGGGGGAAATATAACAAATGTAATGGCGTAATCAATAAAAATATATAGTTAAAAAAAGATTTTATTTATCTTTAGAGGGGAAGGGAAGGAGAAAGGGAAATATCAATGTATGGTTACCTCTCATGGGAACTGGCCTGCAACCCAGGCATGTGCCCAGACTGGGAATGGAACCTCGATCCTCTGGTTTGCAGGCCCGCGTTCAATCCACTGAGCTACACCAGCCTGGGCCGCTCTTGCTGCGTTTCTTTACTCCCAATTCTAACCCATGCTGCCTCACTTCCCAATGCCCACTGACAGCTTTTTGATGTACATTTTGGGTTGATGCCTAAGGACATTTACAAACAGTTCAGTGCTAAGTGTATGCTATTTGGCCATTCCCAGATTCTGTGCTCTTCATTTATTTACTCCTTACAAATGCTAAGGTCAAAAAGGAAGGTAGATGTTTCCTTCTGTCAAGGTTTGGGGAGATGAGCACAAATGAGCTTCCTAATTTTGTACATTATTTAAACAAGGAAAAGAACAATCTTTTGCCCCTAGTAGTTAAAAAAGTAAATTTGTAAGTTAAGATGAACTTATAATGTATATGAAATATTTTACTCTTTCAACATGAGAGTTATTGAGATTTTTAAAACAAAACTAGTGTGGCTCAGTGGACTGGGCAAATCAAAATGGTTCGCCGACTGCAAACCGAAGGGTCGCTGTTTCAGTCCCCAGTCAGGACAGATGCACAGGCCGTGGGCCAGGTGCCCAGTTGGCACATGAGAGATAACCACACGTTGGTGTTTCTCTCCCTTTCTTTAAAAATAAAAAAGGTAAAATCTTTTTAGAAAAGTAAAACGAAGCTAGTAAAGATACTGTGGGATTTGCCACACTTTACCCCCCATTTTAGTTTCAATATAAAAGGCGATAAAGCATACTAATTTACCAGTTTAAATAGTGTATTTTTATCTATGAACCTCTCATCTTTGTACACACACATTTTTTAACAAGCTTTATTTTTAAAAATAATTTTACATTACAGAAAAGTTGGTGAGACAGTAGAGTTTCCATGTATCTGGAACCAGCCTCACCAATTAGGAACATCTTACATTGGTATGGTGAACTTGCTACATTTAGTAACCCAATATTAATGCATTATTAACTAAAATCTATATTGAAATTTCAATTGCAATTATATAAACATTCAAAACAAAACTACTTATTTGGCAACAAACCTACAAATACATGTAGACACCGTCTATACAACTGTGAGAGAGTAAGAAATGTGACCGAAGGGGACTAAACAAGTGAAAGGAGCCGTGCAGGGCGACCCACCCTGGGGCACACAGACAAAGGAAGTTGGAGTGAGAGTGACTGTAGGGGAGGGGACCGTCATTCTCCTTTAGCTGTTCAGTCCCACAGGAAAGGGCATGAAACGTAGGTTATGCAGGGCATGAAACATAGGTTATGCATTATTAACGTCTTCGTAAACACGCCAGTCCGCCCATCAACTTCTTTTCACGCTGTTATCTTTAACTGTGCATGGATTCTTCTAGATGAGCCACCTGGGCTCACTTCACCCACTGTTTGGCCGCCAGCCTCTTATCTCTCTCTTCAGCGATGGTGAGGCGAATGCCCTTCCCACGGGGAAGGGAAATCCACGCTTTGTTGCCTTTGCCGATAACGAAAATGTTGGAGAGCCGGGTGGCAAAGCTGTTGCCATTGGCATCTTTCACGTGCACGACATCAAAAGAACCAGGATGTTTCTCTCTGTTGGTAATCACACCAATTCTTCCCAGGTTAGCACCACCGGTCACCATGCACAGGTTACCAGTGTCAAACTTGATGAAATCAGTAATTTTGCCAGTCTCCAAATTAATCTGAATGGTGTCGTTGACCTTGATGAGGGGGTCAGGGTAGCGGATGGTGCGAGCATCATGGGTCACCAGGTGAGGGATTCCTTTCGTGCCCACAAAGATCTTCCTCACTTTGCACAACTTGTACTTGGCCTCCTCAGGCGTGATCCGATGAACAGCAAAGCGACCCTTGGTGTCATAGACCAGACGGAAATTCTCTCCAGTCTTGTCTATGCTGATGACATCCATAAAGCCCGCGGGGTAGGTGACATCGGTTCGGACCTTGCCATCGATCTTAACGAACCGCTGCATGCAGATCTTCTTCACTTCGTCTCCCGTGAGGGCGTACTTCAGTCTGTTTCTCAGGAAGATGATGAGAGGGAGGCACTCTCTCAGCTTGTGGGGGCCGGCAGACGGCCGAGGAGCAAACACGCCGGTCAGTTTGTCCAGCATCCAATGCTTTGGGGCCGCCACACGCTTCAGATGCTTCTTGGGACCACGAGCCATGGCTGTGCTAGGCACCGAAGGAGGACCCTCTTCTTGCTTGAAGGGAAACAAAACATCACAAAGGGGTCAAATATATGGTGGCAGAAGGGGACCACACTTTGGGGGATGAGCACACAGTAGAATGCACAAATGATGGACTACAAAATCGTACGCCTAAAATATGCTATTAACCCATGTTACCTCAATAAACTTAACTTTTAAAAAGAATCAAGTATCATAGACTCTAGAGTTGTAAAACGCTTTAGATCTTTGCATCTTCTGGAAGCAACTGAATGTGTCAGGAAGACCACAGCTAGACCTGGGTTCTCATTAGCTGGAGGACGACGATGGCTAAACCTCTGGACCTCAAAAGCTCTCACCTGTGAGGTGGGGTAGCGTAAACAGCCTGCAGGGAAAGGCTGGAAGACAAACACACAGAACAAGAAGCAGTGTCTGGAACGGAGCTGACCTCCAACAGGTGAAGCTAGCATCTACTCTAGATGCCTCACTTCTGAGAGGAAGCGATGGAGGCTGCCGTCTCATGGAAGTCAGGGACAGAGGCAGAGCAGAGTTGACAATGGTCTTTAAATCTCCATATTTAAAACCCATGTCAAAGGATTTAAGGGCATATACCTAGCGGTGGAACTGTAGGTATGACTTTAGGATTAATTCTTAGAAGTAGGATTGATGTGTCAAAATGTTAAATGCATACTTTTGTTCGAGACCGCCAAAGTCCCCTCCAAAGTGTCAGAACATGTTTACACTTCTATCAGCAATTTGTGACAGTGCCCCGGGCGTTCTGTAAAAGACAAGCGCCGTCTCTGGAGCACTGAAAGTAGTAACTCCAAAGCCATGCTGTGCGAGACAGGCCATACAAACAGGTGCTCACCTAACGGACTAGAAGACCAGTTCCACTGCAGGTAGGGACCAAGGAACTCATCTAGCACGAGCGCTATTCAACTGTAAAGCCTTCCTTCTAAAATACTGATTTCTTCATAAGGAGAGATTTACTTTGTACAGAAGTTCATACACAGGGTGACCCAGAAATGTGGCTCTGTACCTACATGTCCTCATTGGGGAGGGCCTAATGGGGCACAGGTTGACTCTGCAGCATCCACCCCCACTTCTAACTACCCCCCTTTTGTTGTGGTCATTTACTGTTATCTGCCCCTTTCCACAGAGCCTATAACCTTTGAGAGAACATACCTCTATCCCTGGGCCCCGGCTCACCCACCCAGTCTTAATCCCTGATTGTTCTGAGTTTCAGGTATGGATACAAAGGTAGAGAATAAGAATCTGACCAGAGAAAAAAGGAATTAGGTACTGTGTAACTGAGCCTCTCAATTAAACCAGCCTTGAAGTCTGCCTTACTTCTGGACTTGCAGCGGTGTGGCCCAGTAAGTTCCATTTATTATTTAAATCATAAATAATATGATTTGTCATAGAACACACAATAATGTGTGTTCTGTGACTTGCAGCCAAAAAATATTCTAATCTACACAATGAGAAACATTAGTATAACCTGCAAGACACATTTCATGAGCCCGTACAATTCCCTAATAAATGGGTGAAAAATTTCTTTGCATGGAATCTTTTTCATTGCAGAAAACTGTACGCTCTGATATTAATAGTCAGTGCTACCAGTTTAAACTCTTACCATTTAGAATGGGCATTATTATTACCAGGTTTCAATTTCTAGTTCCTCAAATCACAAAAGTTAGATGCAAACCTTTATTAAGAAAGCTTAACTAGGGGGAAAAATGCAGACAACTGTAATTGAACGATAAAATAATTTTTAAAAAGAAACAAAGAAAGCTTAACTGGGCATAAAAAGTTTCTGGCTCAGAAGGAAAAGCACATTCACCTATTTTGGCTGCACTCTGGCACTATCCCGAATCACAGTCTTCCTTCCTGCCTCAATAACAATCACATTCGTGCCTCTCTGAGCTGCTGCTCAGAAGGTTTCACCTACCCTGTTAGACTGTTTTGGGTGGGTTACCAAGAACTGTAGGGGGCCCGTGAGCTGACACGGTAGCCTTACTCCCAGCAACAGCAGCATCTATCTCCTTGCAGTGATTACCCGAGGGCCAGTAACCACAAGGCAAGGGGAAAGGCGGCAGGTGACACTTGAACCTGGAGTGGGCTGCATTACCAAAGGGGAGACTTCAGCTTAGGGAACCCAAATCTTTTATAATGAGCAGTAGGCATGGTTTTGCTTTGTTCACTGAACAACTTTGACAACTTGTAGAACTAGAGACACTTAATCTAGGACCCCAGTTCAAAAAGGATTTTAGCTCAAACCATCACTATCAATACCATCAGAGTTGGACTGATATTTGTGGACTTGCTTAGCCAAGCAAACAATGTAATCCTGCACACTTTCAGTATTTTTCTTCACAGATTCAGAATCCTGCTTCTGTGGGTGGGAGCAGGCACAGTGTTGGTGGTGGGGGTTGCGCAAGCTGGTCCCCCTCCCTTCCCATCACAATCCTCTGCCCTACACCTGGTGACCTGGTCAGTCATGCCTCCCCTGCTGTTCCTTTCACCCTCTCTCCAAGTGCCTTTTCCTCCCACCACAAGCAGTACTCTTCTTGAAAAGGGCTGCAATAAAAATGGTTCTCCATGTCCTATTCTCGTGTCCTAACACGTGGAGAAATTTCACCTCCTTTATGGTTAGCCCTACTGGATTACAACGCCACAGGCTCATCTCTTAACTGGGCCCTGATCGCTGCCATCATGGCGAACAGGAGAGAGACATTAAGTATTTATTGTCTCTTTAGCAATATGCTAAGTAATGACCTAAGAAATACAGGAAGGTAGGAAGGGAATCCATACTGTGCGCTAGGTGCTGTGCCAACTGTTTTCTAAGTACATTATTTCACTTGTCCTTACAGCACTTTGTTAATAAAGGTCCAGGGTGGTAAATAACATGCACTACGGTCACAAGTGACAGCACCAGGATGAAAATTCTAGCAGTTTTTGACCTCAATATCCACAGTGAGCTCAGAAAATTCATCTTGGAATCCAGGAAGATGGTAACTCAGGCGGGAAAACGAGTTACAGTGAAAACACTGTACTGACACGTACAGCGTATTAAATGTGATTGCAGACAACACGGCCGCAGGAACCCCTCCCCCAGTAATTAAAATAATGGCTGCCATCCTCTACAGCAGTAGAGTACTTCAGTTTCAGGGAACCCACGTAACACGTGTGTGGGTCTCCTATCACAAGTGGACTCTGATGCTTGGATTTCTACTACCTGCCTACTCCTTCAGAGGAAAAGTGGTGGCCCTTGGCGTAGAACCTCCCAGCCCTGAACTCATGGACGCCCTGTCTTTGCTCAGAGTGGACGAGAGGCTAAAGCCGCTCCTTAGACACCCCCCCCCCTTCCTTCCTAGGCTGTGACTCCCTCCAGCAGCCGGAGTCACGGCCCTTACCCTTCGTTCTACATATTTTTCTAGATTCATTGTTACCTCCTTCCTTCAGAGTCACGCACGCGCGCCTTTAAGAAACTGTATATTCGTCATCTTGGCTTTCTACTTTCCATTAAGTTGTTGATCCGCTACAATCCGGTCAACATGGTCTCGTGGGCCCAAATTGTGGCTCCAGTTCTTCCACCATAAAACGCGGATCATAGCCGTACCCACCTCGCAGGCTTGCGAGGGGGTTCAATGGATTATTAAACACACACCCTGGGCCAGGCCTGGCGGATACTCAACACTGTAGGTGTTAGCGACCACCGCTATTATTGTAGTCGTTATTTCTTATTTACACCCCAGCAAGTGTACGAAGAAGACAGACGCAGCCGTTGAAAAGCGCGTTTTAGAAAAAACACATTCCAGTAAATCACTCAACTCCGCGCGGGCACATCTCTTCCTCGTCGTCGTATTTCCAGACCTTGGCACAAGGCCTGGCCTATGGTACTCAACACCCGTCTAGCTTTTCCTATCTACGTGTCTATTTAACACCTATCTTAACGAGTGAACACTTGATAACCAACAGTATCAGAACTCCTCTACCTCCGGAAAAAAAACTAGATTAACACGCAGGCTCCGTATATTTTAAACATATTTTTAAGTGTACGGTGCTTTTTTTCTCAATTCACCACGCACGAGTCGCATACTCAGCCAGAGGCCTTAAACCCAAGAACAGACCGAAAAAAGCCTGCCTATTCATTAAAAGTTTTGCTAAGAGTAAAAATATAAAAACATGTTCTAAGTTTTACCTAGTAAACACGAAACGAAGTTTGTGAGCAGAAGACAATCACGCGCCAATTCTCAATCCACGATGGCGTCTGGCGTCCTCAGATTCCACGCCCTGCTGCGCATGCCCGCCTCCCGCGCATGCCCAGTCCTGAGCAGGCCCGCCTTCTGCGCAGGCCCACTTCCTCCCCGGCTGGGCGGAGGCGGGCGCTGCGCGCACGTTCGCGTCCGGGTCAGCGGGTCGGCGCGCCTGAATGGCTGGCCGACTGGCGGAGCCGGCGACGCCCGTGGTAAATGGCGCTGGTGGCGGGAAAGTTGAGTGCCAGGTTCGCCGAGCCTTCGGGGCGATGTCTAACGACTACTATAGGGCGGAGTCTGGGACGGAGGTGAGAGTCGTCGGGGTGGGAGCGAGAGGAAAGGAGAACATGGTGAGGGAGGCCGGAAGGTGGGGGAGTCTGGGAGCGCGGCTCCGAGCGTGGCACGCTCTGCACCTAGAGTCCCGCCACCTGTACATCCCCACTGTGCACTCCCACTTGTGAATCCCGCCCCACCTCTGTACCGCTACTCTCGCACTCCCTACCTGTGCATCGCACCCAGTCAATGCACCCGTCCACCTGTGCTCTCTCCAAACCTGTGCTCCCCGAGACCTGTGCACCCCCCGACCTTTGCACTCTCTACCTGTGCACCCTGTCCCACCTGTACACTCCCACCTGTGCATCCTTCCCTACCTGTACACCCCCAACATGTGCACCTGGAGCCGGCCGGTGACGCAAAGTCCTGGTGACGCAAAGTCCTCCGAGGCGGGTGGCCTAAAAAGCGCGTTCTCGGAGCAGAGCCAGACGAATTTAATCCCGTAGATGCACGACTCTCTGCGTGCACAGATGGAGGTAAAATTCGAGCTCTCGACTCGCTAGGATTATGGCCCAAACCTTCACAATTTAACTGCGGTCAGAGGCTGTCACTAGGTGAGAGAAGCTCGGAAAAGGGACCAGTTGCGGGGCGGGGGGTGGGGGTGTGCATTTATGGACGCTTTTCTGGAACAGGCGGTTACATTTCCTGCCTCAGTATCTCCAGACCAGCACACACCATTTGATATCCCGCAAGAATTTGTTCAGGAATTGAACCAACAGGTGCCAGGCACTTACTGTGTGCTACCCACTGGTTAAGGAATAGGAGCCTGAAACAAAAGAAACACCTGGTGCCATTTAAAGAACCAGGAAGGGAGTTGACCTGCACGTTGAAGGGTGTGTATGTCATGTGGTCCGTTAGAGGGGTGGGATCATAGGAGACTAACCGGGAGGAGGCCCTGAGCTGCAGTAGGAAGGACCATCTGAAGTCCTTTTGGCGTCAGGGGGTGGGGGTCTGCAAAGCAGACAGTAGCAAGTGTGTGGTTGGTTAGTTTAGGAACGTGCCAGCCATTGTGTGCGGGTGGAACAAAGCCAGTGGTTGGGAACGTGTTGGGAGGTGAGCTCTGGAAACAGGCAGAGTGGATAAGGAAGGGTCTTTTATGTGGGTGAGGGGAGGCAGCATTACTGGACCTTGACTGCCAGGTTCTCCAGGCTCAGGACAAGGTCAGGCAGGCTGAGTTGATTGCAAAGAGCTTGTGCACAAGGGATTCGTGTGGGTGGCTTATAGAGGAGGGCCTTGGGCAGCTGTGGGTCTTGGGGATGAGGGTGAGGTCAGGTGTCCCCGATTGTCCTCAGGTGGGAGTTGATCATGGGGTGGTCACAAGAAGTTTTTCATGGTCAGTGGACCCTGCACAGGGCCTGTAAATGTTCTAGTTACCATTTAATACACAGAATGACCATTTTTGCGGACTGTGATGGTAAGGAAGGATATCGGCATCTACATTCTGTCCCTTAAGGATATGGTCAGGTTGATTTCAACTGTGGAATGTTACTGAAAGCCAAGAGCCACAGCCAGGCCTTTGTGGCAGAGGTCTCTCTGTCATGATGGAGTCCAGGGCCACTCCAGACTGTCTCAGAAGCAATGCTCTGAGATCAGTCAGCAAAGAATGACATGTAGGTTTTGCAGACCCAGCAGGCTCTGTCACAGCTTTTACCTTGGATTTGGCTTGCCAGACAGAGTTTGCCAGCTTTTTGAGAGCAGAGCCGCTGCTTGGTAGAAGAATCACTCTAGTTACAACCTTATTTATTTAAATGATCATTTGGAACCCATGATAAACTCAGATGCCTTTGGTAGTCCGCACAAGCCTAACTAACTCAGAACATGGGAGCCCAGCACAGTCAGATGACTGAACAAAGAATTTACCATCATACCCTGTGGCTGCCATGTCCATCCAGAGGTCTGAAACCAGACTGACTCGCTCCTGTCACTTTGGAGTGCAGTCAATAGAGAGGAATGGGCAGCTGGGCAATGGGTGCTTCTTTATTCTTTTTCCTATTTGTTAACAAAACCGACCAAGCAAGCCTCCTTTCCCTTGAGTGCTCAATCTGTTTGGAGGGTGTTTTCTTTCTGGGCACATTAGCCTACTTTAGGGATTCTACTTGGAGTCCTTGTGTTGAGGACGATAGCAAACGTGGGACGAAGCACCACCCCAAGCACCATCCCCGCAGGTGAACTTGTTCGTACGTTCTTCCAGAAATGCTCTAACATGCTAATTTTGGAGGGTGAGATGAAGAGCGCCGGACCAGAGGTCTGGAGACCTGAGCTCCTGTCCCGGATCTGCTGGCCAAGCTCGCGGTTTTGGATACAGTATTGACCCTCAGCCGCCGCCTCGGATGTGGGGGTGGCAGGCTGTGCCTGCTCACATTCCCGTTAGCGCTGCCTCTAGGAGGCGGGTTCTTCCATTTGTACCCTTTTGCCGGGCACAGCTTTCTCTGTGTGTCAACACTTGATAAATATTCGTTAGCAATAATGACTGGTTTTCTTTTCTTAGAAAAGGTATAGGGCGGCCTTTCTGCCACAAGCAAATATTAATTAAGACACATTCAGTATTTATTAAATAAGAACATTTTCATCAGTGTGAGAAAGAAATACAGGTCAGTTTCTTCTTGTACATGCCCCGACATGGGACTGAACCTGCACCTTAGGCATGTGCCCTGACCAGGAATCAAACCTGCGACCTTTTGGTTTTGGACGACACTCCAGCCAGCTGAGCCACACTAGTCAGGGCAGGGTGACTGCTTTTAAAAGTACTGATTATTAGAGCAGGAGTCCTTCAGGGAATTGGTTGCACTAAGAAAGGATGGAATTTACCCACGTCGTGTATGAGTAACAGTTGTTCTTTACATGTAATGTACACGGACCCTTTACTGAAGAGCCAGGCCTAGCACTGTGCCCTGAAGGACAATTTAATTTTCAAAGTGCCAGAGGAGCCTGGGGTCTCGGGATGGAACAGCCCTCGGATGGAAGGGTCTGCCATGACAAGGGCCAGCGGGCACTGGCCGCGCACGTGTAACAGAGCTGCCCGTCCCCTTGCGTCAACACCACGCAGCTGCTCTCTGGCTTTCCCTGGGTTTGCTGCTGGGTTGGACAAAAAGTCCACTTAGGCTTTTCCATAAAATAAAAGACACAGTTTTCATTTCCACCAATAACTTCATTGATTTGGGTGTTTTGAGTATGTCGGCTCTCTCTCACTGTTGGCTTCTAGAGGGGAGAGGCCAGGGGCACCGCTGAACATCTTCCAGTGCATGCGATGGCCCACAGCAGGGATTTGACCAGAATGTCAGTAGGACCAAGGAACTTCACAGACCACTTCTGACGCATTCAATCAGTCACGGCACCTTCTCCACATACTGCACAAATCTTTTTTTGTGTTTCAGTTGTGTTTTTTACCTTTCTTGAAATAATAAAGCATAATATGCCTCAATGGTATATAATTTCTTCCATCTTCAATATTGCAATGGCTGCACACAAATTCACCAATTTCGATGTTTTTTACAAATGCATGCTGATATGACAAGCTGACCTAATACAGTCTAATGAAATTGTTTCGAATGAAGTTAAAGTCAACTAAGTGCTACTAGAGCCGGCATACAGAGCAAAACCAAATGAACTTTTTGGCCAGCCCGATAGTTACACACTGCTGCCTGAAGTAGCTATCCTTAAATCGTTGGTGGGCGTGTTTGAACTGTCCTCAGTCTGTGGGTGGGATCCCAGCCCTGCGGGGGGCGGGGCGGTTAGCACGCTGGTGGCTAACCTGCAGGTGGCTCTTGATACGTGGCTCTTGCCGCCACTGTCCCTCTCCACACAGATGAGTCACAAAGGGTCAGGGAAGTGAGCCTTTATCCAAGTAAGTCTTAGGTACACGGTTGCCGAGATGCCATTTATTTCTGGTTAAGTTTCTCTTTAGGTGCTCCTCCCTGCTGTAGAAGAAGTTTTTCTAAAACTAAAGGTGTTTAAAAACACCTCTGTGTTAGGTGTTCCGCCTACTAGACATTGGGGGGGTGTGGTTGCCTGTGGTGGCCTTTGTCTGAGTGTTAGAACTTCGATGACGGCCGTAAGAATTCTCACAGGCTTTTCTTGTGCAGCGGAAGTTGGCACAGATTACTCAGGTACATGAAAGTCTAGGCAGCTTGAGGTTCTTCATGCTTCCTCCACTTCTGCCTACCTGGGCCCTGTTCTCCTTTGGTTTACCAGGCAGCTACCCAGGTTCTGCCAAATGGAGAGCATTTTGGAACTGGGGGCGGGCCAGTTTCCTTTTAAGCATTTACATCCACATCAGGACACAGGCTCTTGAGTACAGTAATAGCTTCATGGAGGGAGGGGCCTTGGAGAATGTGTAGAATTTCTGCTTGTTCATTGGTCTGGGTCTTAGGGAATGTGACTTGGGAATGGGGAAAGGACATTCCAGGAAGAGGGGACAGAGGCACTATGCGGTCAGTGCGCACCGTGTGTGCCCCTGGGAGAACTCGGTGCCCTCCCACTGGCAGGGTCGGTCACCCTTCTTCCTGCCTTCCCAGCGCCACGTGCTGTGCTTGGTTGTACATTTTTAACCTTTCGACTCTGCCCTGTGACAGTCTTTGGGGACGGGAACTGGGTCTGCTTTGTTGCTGTGTCCCCAGCCCCTCCCTCTGTCACTGGCACACACGTGACACCCCTGAAGTGTGTGCCAGCGACTGTCCGTGTAGCTGAGTCCTGTTGCTTTTGCCGACTGTGGCCTTGCCCCAGTGCTGCTGCTGTGAGGGACCCTGGGCCTCCCTGTTGCTGTCGGAGGGAGGACTGGGGGGTGGCCGACAGGCAGAGGGTGGCCTGGGCCTCAGACTGGCCCAGCCTCAGTGAGGAGGTCCGGGTCTCTGCTCCGTCCCTGTCCTCGGACTTGGTCAGACTCAGTGAGAGCTGGTCGGCTCTGAGGCTGTGCAGCGCAGTGGAACTCTGGGCCTTGTGGCCCGAGAGCTCAGACCCTGGCTCTGGTGTCTCCTAGTGTTTCTCGTCTGAGAAACAGTGCAGTTAATGGGACCAGTGAAAGGGAGAGCATCTGTAAATCAGAAGCGGCCGACTCCATAGTGAGCCCAAGTCGTATTAGTTGTTAGGTGTATCTGGTTACAATGACAAACCTGGGGGCACCGATTCCCACACCGAGTGCCCAACCTGTTACTTCACCATGTCAGTGGACCGCCAAGGAGACTAAGACAGTCGTGCTCACGACCTCTGGGCCTCAGAGAGGCTGCTCAGGGACTTGAGAGAAGTGTGTCACCGCGTCACCCAGTGGCTGCCAGGTCTTCCCGGAAAGCAGCACTGCCGTGGCAGGTGGGACGTGTCTGGTCCAGTCCCTTGGACGCCCAGCAGGATCTTCTTTGTGCTTCCGGATCCGGATTGACCGGTGCTGTTTCAACTCGTTCCTCAGATCTGGACATCATGGATCTTAGTTTCTGTGACGGTCGTTCGGATTTGCGTCAGAGTTTCAGGTGTTTTTCTGCTCGGATTTGGGGACTTCAGCAAGCCCTGTGCTTCAGGTGCAGAAACGGGATGGGCGAGGCAGCTCCCCTTCCCATTTGTGACACGCTCTTGCTCCCGCCGTACAGAAGGCTTGTCCCGCCTGTGCTCATTCAGAAACCGGAGAAGCCGCTGTGAGTCCGTTCCCTGTGACAACATTCCAGTCAGTCCCCGCGTCCTGCTCACTGTCTCTGACTTCAGCCTGGGCGGAGGTTCTCTTCCGGGCTCCTCCGGCCGACCCCAGCCCGCTCTCTGGGCCTGGTTCACTCTCAGGTCCGTGCCGGGCTAGCCACCAAGATGAGGTTTGGAAATTGGGTCACGATGGCTCCTACTTATATAGTGCCATGCACTGTTTGTTTGTTTGTAAAAGGCTGTTCACTAAATCTGGGGGCAGTTAAACAGGAGGGCCCAGGACAGAAGAAGCAACAGGAGAGACCCTGGGTGGGCTGCTTTGGCTCACTGGACAGGCAGAGAAGGGTGACCTTGGAGACAGGATGGGGGTGAGACCCAGCCGAGCTGCTGCTGCCCATCGCTCCCCTGGTTGCAAGTCTCTCGGGACCCCCAGGGTTTAGGGGACACGTGCCTACTGGGGAGGAAGACAGGCACATTCCCGGGAGGGCAGCGCCAGAGCTCAGCACTCTTCGCACCCTGTGAGGGTGACACTGCTCGTTACCCTCCTTCCCCCCGTACTGATGAGAGGCCCCAGGCCCAGGAAGTGACCCTGCAGGGCTGCTGCTGGCGTCCCGACCTCTGCTCTGCACTGGCGAGACGGCTTCTCAGCCGCGGAGCTTACCGCCCTTGCCCTGTGTACAGCCACCAAGACCTCTGTGATCTGACTCCCGCTCCTCAGGACGTGGTGTCTTCTGCGGGTCTGTGCTGCGAGCTCCAGCAGCTCAAGTCTGCCTGTGGCCAACCCCACACCATGCAGATTGCAGCCTCTGCACCCGCCGCCTCTGCTGCACCTGCCCACCTGAGTGTTCCTCTGCCTGTCCTCCCTCCTGCCCCCACTAGATGCCCCCACTAGACAAGTGGCCGTGTGATGGGCAGGCGAAGTGAAGGCTGGGGCCGGGGCAACGAGCGCAGTCCGTGGTGGGAAAGAGCTGTTGGGCTGGAGGGCGCACGCTGCGTGGTGAGTGGTCTGCCCTCTGTGCTCCCCCAGGGCAGGGACTCCTGCTGTGGGCACTCGGTGTGCAAACAGAAAATGAACTTTTTAAAAAAGATTTTATTTATTTATCTTTAGAGAGGAAGGAAGGAGAGAGGGAGAGAAACATCAATGTACGGTTGCCTCTCGTGGGTCCCCCACTAGGAACTGGCTTGCAACCCAGGCACGTGCCCTGACTGGGAATCCAACCACGATCCCTTGGTTCGCAGGCCGGTGCTCAATCCACCAAGCTACACCAGCCAGGGCAGAAAATGAACTCTTTTCTGGATTTCCTACTTCATGATTTCCTCCAAGTCCTCAAAATTGTGAAATGCCTTTTTTGTAGACTTCTGGAAAATTATATAAATGTGGGCTTTTTAGGACTTTGTATTTTTGGTAATGACTTTCTTTTTCTCTTTTGAAGCTCCTCGCCCGGCTCGAAGGTAGAAGGTCCCTGAAAGAAATGGAACCGTGTCTGTTTGCAGATGAAGACTCCCCTGTGCACGGTAAGAACAGCCTCAGAATACCGGGCCGTACCCTAAGTCTGCGGCACTCGTGGTTTTGCCTGTGTGTTTCACATGCATCTCGCAGGAGGCTCCGTGGGGCGGCTGCAAATGCTCGGCCACGGGTCACGACCACCCCTGCCCTGGGCACGGCTGATGATGGGTGGGGGGCAGCTCACCTGTGGTGCGTCTTCAGAATCAGCGGGCCTCTTCGACCCCAACACTCTGTATTTGTGGAGATTCTGTTAGTATTTTTTACCCCTGAGAAGCGGGAGAATCGCAGGAAGGACTGCGGTGCCCTGGGGTCCTGTTCAGATTTCTGCAGTGGGGAGAGGCGCGCCTGTCCATCCTGTTGGCGCTGTGTCCCCAGGGGACTTAGAGAGCAGGAGTGTGCTTGGGCTGGTTTTTTAAATGTAGCAGTTTTATAGCGAAGCAGTTCACCCACGTAAGGGTGCAACTTGGTGATTGTTAGCACTCACACAGTAAAGCAACCGCCACTGAGTTCAGAACACTCGTCAGCCCGAAGGAATCGCATGCCTGTCAGCAGCGACTCCCCGTTTCCTCCCACACCCCTCACCCTGGGCGACGGCTAATCCGCTGTCTGGCTCTTCACCAAGGTTCCCTCCTGGACACTTGGGGTCACGGAACCACACAGCGTGGTCTTTCTTCTGCGACTGGTTTCATGTACTCCGTGCAGTCTCTTCCTGGTGCATCGGTCGCCTGCCCCTGTCCGCTGTAGAAGAGCATGCTCTCGTGTGGGCGCAGCGCATCCGGTCACCACTCATTGGCCGTGGCTTTGGAGTTGCTTCTGCTTTTTGGCTGTTACGAATAATGCTATAATAATAATTATTGCTTTAGATTTTACTTATTTATTTTTAACTTTTTAAAGACTTTTTTAGAGGGAGGGAGAAAAAGGGAGAGAAACGTTGATGTGCAAGAGATACACAGATCGGGGCCTCTTGCACACCCACCACTGGGGACCTGGCCTGCAACCCAGACATGTGCCCTGCCCAGGAAGTGAACCTGCAACCTTTCAGTTCACAGGCCAGTGCTCAGTCCACTGAGCCCCACCTGCCAGGGCTGTAATGATTTCTGTACAAGTTTTGCGATGGACATGTTTTCAGCTCTCTAGGGTGCTGCCTGGAGAGGGCCTGACTGCTGGTTGCCCGGTGACTCTGTGTTCAACTTGGCGGGACCGCCAGGCTGGTTTTCCCAAAGCAGATGCACATTTCACTTGCCACCAGCAACGAGATGTGTGAGGTTTGTTTGTACAAACCACACGTACAAACAAACATTTTTGTCCGGCTTTTTGATTATAGTTTTTCTTAGTGAGTATGAAGTGATATCGCATTGTGGTTTTGATGACATTTCCCTGGTGGCTAGTGGTGTTAAACCTCTCTGTATGTGCTTAGCAGCAATTTGTGTGTGTGATTTAGAGAAATGTCAGACCTTTTGCCCACTTTAAAAATCAGGTTGTCTTTTTACTATTGAGTTGTCAGAGTCCTTTTTATATACTGGATACCAGTCTCTTAGCAAATGTATAATTTGCTAATATTTCGTTTTTATGTTTTACGGGTTGTCTTTTCACTATCTTGACGGTATCCATTGAAGCACAAAGTTATATATTGTTTAAGTTGATTTTTTTAGAGATTGAAGGAGAGAGAGAGAGAGAGAGAAATGTCAGTTAGTTGTTGCACTTACTGCTGCACTCATTGGTTGGTTCTTCCAAAGTGCCCTGACCAGGGATCGAACCCTCAACCTTGGTGCATCAGCACAGTGCCCTAACCAACTGAGCTACCCAGCCAGGACGCAAAGTCATTAATTTTGATGAAGTCCAGTTTATCTGTGTTTCTTTTTTTGTTCTTGTTTATGCATTTGGTCCAGTTAAGAAGCCATGACCTACACCAAGGTCAAGAAGATTTATAGCTTGTTATTGTTTTTCTATTTTCATTGTTTTCCAATTAGAGAACATCTGTGGCTTCAATCTTCTTAAATTACTGAGACTTTTTTATGGCCAAACATACGGTCTACCCTGGAGAATGTTTCAGGTGCATTTGAGAAGATCATGCACTCTGCTATGATTGGGTCAAGTGCGTTATTGACGTCTCTTAGTCTGGTCAGGTGTTAGTGTTATTCACATCTTCCGTTTCTGTGCTGCCTTTCTGACTAGCTGTTCTGTCCGTCATTGAAAGTGGGGCGTGAGGCCTTAAGCTGTTACCGCTGACTTGTCTGCCTTTGCAGTTCTGCCGCTTGTCGCTTTGTGTCCTTTGGACTTTCGGGTCCTGTTGGGCACAAATACGCTTTCATTATATCTTGTTGATGGATTGACTCAGTATCTTTATAAAATGTCCTATTTGCCATCTCACACCCATCAGGATGGCTGAAATAAAAAACAAACAAACCCACCTGGCTGGTGTAGCTCAGTGAATTGAGCGTGGGCCTGCAAACTTAGGGATCGTGGTTCGGTTCCCAGGCAGGGCACATGCCTGGGTTGCAGGCCAGTTCCCAGGCAGGGCACATGCCTGGGTTGCAGGCCAGTTCCCAGCAAGGGACCCGTGAGAGGCAACCATACATTGATATTTCTCTCCCTATCTCCTTCCTTTCCCCTCTAAAGATAAATAAATAAAATCTTAAAAAAAAAAAAAGACTTCTTATTCTTTCTGGTTTTCTTCGGTACCTGCACTGGACAAGGGTCCACTGTTTGGGTGTTGGCTGTTTTGGTCTTGGCTGAAAGGGGTGATGAAAACCACCCCTGTCTTGACTAGCTAGTGTGGCTCAGTGGGTTGAGTGCCAGCCTACAAACCACATGCCCTCATTGTGGGCCAGGTCCCCAGGAGGGGGCTCTTGAGAGGCAACCACACATGGATGTTTCGCTCCCTCCCTTTCCCTCTCTCTAAAAATAAATAAATAAAATCTAAAAAAAGAAAAAAGAAGTTCTTAGAAAGTCATCTGATAAAAAAGATACAGTGTTTTGTGTTGAGGATAGAATATTCAAGTCCCAACCTTATAAAGTAGCCAACCCCCCCAAAACAGAATTTATTTATAAGAAACTGTGTATTTATTCCTTCATGTTTAAACTTCAGTCACCTTCAAAGTACTCTCCGTTTAATGCAATACACCTGTCAAAACATTTTTTTTTCTCTGCTGGAAAGTTTTTGAACTTGTCAATTTTGAGGCCTTTCGATGCTTCTGCTTTTTTGTTTCACTTCTTCCACATTGGCAAAACGTTTCCTTTTGAGGGTTTTTTCATCCAGGGAAACAGATCACTTGGGGTGAGATTAGGCGAATAGGGAGGGTGGGGCACGGGGCCCTGCTGTTTTTGGTCATAATCTGCTGAACACTGAGCACGGCATGGACAGGTGCACTGGTCAGTCACCCATCGTGCAGTGGGCAAGTGCTGAAAGAGTCTCCAAAAAATTCACTTAAGCTGCACGCAGCCTCTCACAACAACGCCAGTTGGTTCGTCAACACAGATGGGTTCCTAGAACACTCACGACCCAGGGGAAGCCTGTCCTACAAGGGGCCCACCCTCCAGAAGGTAGTTCCTGTTTTGGTGGGTTGTCTCCTTATACACAACGCAATGAATGCGATCATGGGAGATGATGAAATTTGCTTTTTCTACCTTGGTGGTGTTGTTGGGGCCCATGCAACGTCATGAAGAGTGCATGTCATTTGTGAAACGCTGCTCATCCACGTCTGCCTTCTGCCCCAGGGGCCTGGGGCAGGGAGCAGGGCCGGGTTCTGGTGCAGGGCTCGCACTGTGCTCACCGTCTTTCTCACCGTCCAGTGTGTTTCTTCGCGGCCACCGGTGCTGCTCCGTGTCAGCGTTTCTTCCTCCAGCGTGTGTCGTTTATTCTCCCAGGCTACACGGCCGTGCAGGGCTTTCATGTGGGGCAGCTTAGGCCCCCAGGGATATCACTGGAGAGAGTAAACCTAACGTCTGGTTTGAAAATAGTGTTAGTCACTGTGTTAACGTTTAATAAGAGCATCCACAAGCGATTGTTAATGTGCAGGTAGTTTCACTCCTTGAGGCTGGAATCTTTGGAGGGGGTCTTTTTAACGTAAATTTTGAACAGTAAATTATGTTTAAGATTGTTGAGGAAATTGGCTGACACTTTCTATTACCTAAAATACAGTATGGTAGCAACTTACTAAATTTCTTCCACATTTTTTGTCACTGTTCCAACGTGTAATGGTTTATTAGTCATAACAAGAAATAAAGTGGGAGGAATAGACAGAAAACTGTACTTGAAAAATAATTAAATAAAAAAAGAAAAAAAAGAATTAAAGTAACTGGATTCTCAAAATATGTGATGTATTTGAGGCCTAAGAATCTGCATTTCAATGCAGTGTTTTCTGTTCTGCGCTTCAGCTATAAATTAAATGGCAGTATTTTTGTCAAGTTTTAGTTTTAGCAGGAATTGGAAGGTCCCTGTTCAGAGTGGGTTTTGGAAAGCTCTGGAGGCAGGACAGTGTGCCCGGGTGTTTTACTTAATTCGTACTGTCCCCGATGAAGGAGACTTACTGGAACTTATGTGGAAAGACTCGGTTGACTCTTCCAAGTTCAGAGCAGTGGACTTGAATTTATGATGGTAGGAGAGTAATTCACGGCGCAGATGCCATTCTAAATGGACACAGTTTCCTGAGAGTCGTATAGCAAGGAAGGCCCGTAGGCTGTTTGGAGATGCGTTTTCTGTGGAGGGCACTCTTGGCATTGAAGGCCTGAGAGCCGTGGGTCCTCACCTACCAGCCTGTAGAAGTGAAAGGGCATGGTCAAGGCTAGCTCCACCCACAGTGCCCACAACATGGAGAAACCCTAGTTAGGATCGTTTCATCTGCCTGTAACAGACGTTCAGCCTAGTGGCTTTCCAGATAGAGGCTTGTTTTCCTTACATCAGGAGTGGAATCAGGCAGGCTGTGGCCCAGGTCCTGGGTGCCTCCTGTCCTCCCCCCCACCCTCCTCTGGGCCTGCCCCATAGGGGCTCCTCTCCTCCTCACCGCTCCCAGCTGGCTGCTTCCCCTCCAGAGGGCAGCTGGGGTACCTGCCTCCGGAGGGTTAGGGTTAGAAATCCAGGCAGATGCCTCCACGTGCCCCTCTTGCTGCAGCGGAGACACCTGGGACCCCCTCTGCCAAGGAGACGAAGAATGGCCTTCCCCAACTGAGGCTTTTGTGTTTAAGGGAAAAGGAGAGAATGGATACTGGGTGCTCCGTCACTAGAAATAGCGTGCCCGTAGTAAGCAGCAGGGTTTTGCAGAGGCCCTAGGTCTGGCGCTTTACTTCTCTGCACCACCACTGCGTGTGTGCGTGTGTGCGTGTGTGCGTGTGTGCGTGTGTGCGCCCCCCCCCCCCGCACCCGTCCCCCGGGAAGAGTCACGGAGATGCGGTCTGCCTGTTACTCTGCTTTCAATGACTGACTTGCAGTTAGTTCTTACAGACCCATTTTGGCAAATGGGTTAGCTTTTCTTCTACATTCCAGTAAATGTCTTTGAAAATATTTTTGCACACTTTTCATTTATACCCTTACTGTGCTGCAGCATTTTGACTGACATTTTTAAATTTTACACAGGTGATATTCTTGAATTTCATGGTCCAGAAGGAACAGGAAAAACAGAAATGCTGTATCATGTAACAGCACGATGTATCCTTCCAAAAGCAGAAGGTGGACTGGAAATAGAAGTCTTATTTATTGACACAGATTACCACTTTGATATGCTTCGGCTCGTTACAATCCTGGAGCATAGACTGGCGCAGAGTTCTGAAGAGATAATCAAGTGTTGCCTCGGAAGGTTTTTCTTGGTGCACTGCAGTAGCAGCTCCCAGTTGCTGCTGACACTTTACTCCCTAGAAACGATGTTCTGCAGCCGCCCCTCTCTTTGTCTCTTGATCGTGGATAGCTTGTCAGCTTTCTACTGGATAGACCGCGCCAACGGCGGGGGGAGCGTGGGCCTGCAGGAGGCCCCTCTGAAGAAGTGTTCTCAGGTCCTAGAGAGACTAGTGCAGGAGTACCGCCTGGTCCTCCTGGCGACCACGCAGAGTATAATGCAGAAACCCTCCGACCCTGGCGAAGGCCCCCCCTCGGCCTCCCGCCGCCCGGGGGACTGGGACGTGGGTGTCGACTACAGGCCCTACCTCTGCGAGGCCTGGCGACGGCTGGTGACGCGCAGGGTCTTCTTCTCCAAAGACAGTGCTAAAGCCACAAACCAGTTCTCTTTACTTTCACGTCATTTAAAGAGTAACAGTGTAAAGAAGCACTTTTTTATTATTGGAGAAAGTGGGGTTGAATTTTGTTGATATGTGTCGAAATAGTCTTGTAGGACTTTATGCAAGTTTTAAAAAGTCGGTAATAGCCCTGGCTGGGTTAGCTCAGTGGATTGAGCTTGGGTCTGGGAATCAATCAACCAGGGTTCGATTCCCAGTCAGGGCACATGTCTGGGTTGCAGGCTGGGTCCCAACACGTGAGAGGCAACCATACATTGATATTTCTCTCCCTCTCTCCTTCCCTTCCCCTCTAAAGATAAGTAAATAAATAAATCTTAAAAAAAAAGTCAGTAATAGGCTAAAGCGATTCAGTTCTGAAGTTCTTAACTCCGAGGGGATTACCAGTATTTCTACCCAGAGTGGGTTTCTCACACCAGCACGGAGACACCTTTCCAGCACGGAGACACCTTTGAGTACCTGCTCCCGGTGGTCGGAGACTCAGCAAAGTAACACTGACAGTTAAGCCGTATGTTAAGCTTGCTTTAAAATGAAATAAATCCTATACTCATTTTAGCCTAAATAAAATGGACTTTTTTTTTTAACTTGGTGTCACATTTCTGGAATCCAGTGATGTGTTTAGGAAAGGTTGCACTTCTAATTTCTCACATGTAACCCCTTTCGGAAGCTGTGCCTTTGAAAAACGTCTCTATAGACCTTTCTGTAAATGCAATGGAAACAAGCTACCTTCCTGCCTTTCCCACCAGGAGCTATGGAAAGGCAGGGTGTTTTTAACTTAGGTTACTTACACTGAACTCCAGGATGATGTTGTATTATGGTTGGGCTTCTGTGTAATTTTTTAAACACAGGGACATAAGATAACCACTCAAGGAATTCTGCCAAGAGTGTTTTGAAACTTTTATCTCCTGCTAGTTAAGTGATAGACAAATGCTGAAACTGTGTTAGAACCGTTCGTCACTAGTAATTTCTTACCTGCCGATATTTAGAATGCTCTGATACACCCTGGCTCAGACCATTTCCTGCTGGTAGCCGGACAAGACTGCGTGCTCTGGCCCTGTGCCGGCCAGATGGGGAGCTCACGCGTCAAGGGACCAGGAAGGCGATGTGTTAAAGCAGAGCAGGGCAATTTTCATGCAAGCAGAAATGAAATTGTATCATTATTTGATAGATGAATCCTGGCACTAATGCAATCTCTACGTCAGGTGGTCTTAAGTCACGTACACCTCAGACGTGGTGTCCCTTGGGGAAGGGGAAGGATATGGCAGTGGTGTTCTCGTGGGGGCGCTCATTGGTATGTCCCTACTCAGTTAAAACTCTCAGCTCTGACTTTGCTCATCTGACAAAGATTAAAAAAGAATCCTGCAAAGAAACCAAGCCTGAGGCTAATAGTTCTCCTAATGCAGGCCCAGCGAGGCTACATCTCTGTGCCCTGGGCTGCCTCCAGCCCACCTGCAGTTTGCAGAGCCCCAGGACGAGGCTTCTACTCCTTCCTCCTCCTCCTCCTCCTTCTTCTTCCTCCCTCCCTCCTCCTTCCTCCTCCTCCCTCCTTCTTCCTCATCCTCTCCTCCCTCCACCCTCCACTTCTCTTCCTCCCTCCTCCTTTCCCCCCTTGCCTGCCCTTCCTCTTCCATCTTCTTCCTTCTCCTAACCTGAGGACGTTTTTTCATTGCTTTTAGAGAGAGAGAGGGAGAGAGAAACATCATTGTGAGAGAGAAACACTGGTCGGTTGCCTCCTGTATGCGCCCCTACTGGGGATCGAACCTGCAACCTGGGTATGTGTCCTGACCAGGGATTGCACCCACGACCTTTCAGTTGCAGGAAAACGCTCCTACCAACTGAGCCACACTGGCCAGGCAGAGAGCCTGGGGGCTTCTGTAGGTGGCTTTTGGACGCCAGAGCCCGCAAAACTGTAGGTGGGCTGGGCCAGGCAGTGCTTCTCCAGCGAGGCTCAGGATTTGGTCTGTGAAGATGTGCCCCGCAGGGAGAGAGGGCACTGTGCCGTTTCCCCGAGTGGCCCCAGTAGGACGGATGCCCGTTGCTTGAAGCAGTAACCCGTTCAGGAACATTGTTCATTGTCTTCGTCCTTCCCTCTCTTCTCTCCACTCGGTCACGGGGCCCGTGGGATTGGCTCGCTCATGAGTGACAGCCTCGCAGCCCTCCCAGGCCCAACACCCGCCCCGCAGCCACACTGTGGCAGTGAAAGTGACGGCACCCTGAGGAGTAACCAGTGCAGTGGCGTCGGGGCACATCACTGTCACTTCCACACCCCTGTCTGCCCACAGTAAATGTTATTTTGCCATTCATAGCATTTCAAGTGTTTTTAAAAATATTACATATTTTACCTGTAGTTCATTCTCTCTCAAGTCATATTGTTGTGTGTATTTTGTTAAGCGCACAGCGTATCACACAGAAGTGATTTGTAAATCTCTGTATTTCAGGAGGAATCTACCTGTTTTTCCAAGTCCTGATAAGAGTGTGTGATCATGGATCTGTTGCTCTATTCTAGACTACTTTTTTTTTTTTTTACAGATTTTATTAATTTATTTTTAGAGAGAGGGGAAGGGAGGGAGAAAGAGAGGATGAGAAACATCATTGTGTGGCTGCCTCAACACCCGCCACTGGGGACCTGGTCTGAAACCCAGGCACCTGCCCCGACCGGGAATCGAACCAGCGACCCTTTGGTTCGCAGGCCAACACTCAGTCCACTGAGCCACACCATCCAGGGCATAGACTACTTCTTCTTTTAGCCATTAAGAGAAGAGATGCCAGTTTCATCACCTTCCCTAGCAAGCTCTGCACCGTGGCCGTGCATGTGCCGTATAGACATCTGTGAGAACTTAGCAGCTCCCAGCAGAATTCCAGCCTTGACTATGACCGGCTTTTCACTTCTCCTCTGCATAAATGAAGTGTTAATTTAATGAACTGTTACTCACAGATTTATAACTTACTCTTTGGGAACATGATTAAAAAATAATGAACTTTTATATTAACTTAAATTATCAATTATATATGAATGTGTCAGACCAAAGGCTTCGTTATCTTTAAAAGATTTGTTATCCAACATGCTGGAAGGAATTAAGGGCCCTGGTTAACAAAAAATTCTTTTAAACTAAAAGTTATACCAATGGGATTTCTTGAACACTATAGAAGTTTTAATAACTATAAAAAGAGTCAGGCTTAACGAGAAAGAGATTGAAGTCACACATCCCAGGTTATGTCGGGAGCAGATAACAGGCATGCGGACAGTCAGAAGAATAATGAGAGTGAGTGATTATAAATCTTAGAAAATGTAACCCATTTGCATATAAAAAAAGGAAAAATGGGTATCATAAAATACTTTTCTTAAAGGTGAACTCAGGATAATTTTGAGAATCTAGAAAAAAGAAATGCATGCAAAGGATATTTCAGACATCCGTCTGGTAATGCTATACAAAACTAAGACAGTACTTACCCGATCCCTTCCTTTGTATGTAACATTTTCAGGTTTCAACCATGAAATGTGATATTGCTGATATCATTCAGTTTTTATTCAGACCATTGTGCTACATGGATTATGTAACAATAAGGGTGAAAGATATTTTCAGATGGGGGGAAATGGAGAATTTACCACCAAAATTGCCTCATTTAAAGGAGCTTCTAAAAGCTATAGTTCAAAGAGGAGGGCAGTTATCCTGGGGAGTCTAGATGTAAGAAGCAGTCGTGAGTGAAGAAAACGGAAAGCACTTGAGTGAATCTGAAGAAACCCTGACAATATAAAACAACAGTGTCTAACATGCTGGAGGAAAAGACGACAAAGGAAAAACTCTAGGTAACTTGTTGCCTGTATGCCTACTGCACGTACAAGGGCTTCCCAGGAAAAGTCCTGCCATTGTTAATATGATGAGAGCGTAACCTGGCAGCCAAGGAGAGTGGACTGGAATGCGCATGCGTGAACAACGACAACTTCACTAAGTCAGTGGGGGCGGTAGACACTGTTGAGTGAGTGTGTGTACTGTGTGGCCATCCATCACATTCAAAATGACTGAGCAAGTAGAGCAACAAAGGTGTCTCAAATCTTGCATTAAGTTTGAACATTCCTCCACTGAAACTATTTGGATGATTCAGAAGAGTTTCAGGAATGATACAATGAGTGCAGCACAAAAAAATAGTGTGGCACAAATGCTTCAAAGATGGTCAAGATTCTGTTGAAAGTGATCCACTTGAAGGCCTGCAACAAGCAGAACACGTGAGAATGTTGAATGTATATGGGCTGCAATCAACAAAGATTGGCGACCCAGGTGACTCAGCCCCGCTACAGACCAGACTTGGCACCCCACGACTTCTGGCTTTTTTCAAAACTGAAATCACCTTTGAAAGGGAAGAGATTTCAGACCATTGATGAGATTGAGGAAAATACAGTGGGGCAGCTGATGGCAATTGGGAGAACTGTGTGAGGTCCCAAGGTGCCTACTTTGCAGAGGACTGAGGTGTCATTGTCCTGTGTGCAATGTGTCTTCTATCATCTTCAATAAATGTCTCTTTTTCATATTACATGGCTGGATACCTTCTGGAGAGACCTTGTCAGATTGTCAACATGATAATTAGTCTTAAGATCTTGTTTTATTCTGAAGGAGAATAAAGATATGGACCAAGTTTAGACATCATTAAGTATGAACTTTTAAGAGCTGCCTTTAAAGGAGACAAATTTAACACATGTTTTAGCAGGTGTATGTTCAGTTGGCAAGAGGAAAAAAATTTTAAAACCCAAAGACACAGGACAGAAAGTGGTTGAATATTTAAACACTAAATAATATGGTAGTGATCTTTCCCATTGTAAATTAGATTGAACTATTGTGAAAAATCTTGGGTCATCAGACTAGATTTTTAACGGTCCACTATATGCTTCTTAAAGAAATGCAGCTAAAACAAGGATACAGAACCCTTGAGAGCCAGGGGATACTGGAGAAATACAGAAGGGAGCTCCTTGAGCGGCGCTTGTGTTCTGGTAATGCGTCCTGTCAGAACAAAGATCGCTGTACAACCATATGGGGTTAGGTTCATCGTTCAGGTTTGTATGTCCTCAGTGATAACTTCAAAAAGTCCGAAGCAGAAATTGAGACAACTACACACAGAAATCGGTGTCACCGTCATGGTTAATATATATATATGAAGCAGTTAAAAAAAAATTAGTTAGAGACCTAGAGTCTCGATACAAAATCAAACTTGATCTGATAAACAAAATAAGAACGCGGGTTTTTTTCTTCCGGCCAAGATGGAGGCGTAGGTGGAAACATTGTGCCTTCTTGCACAACCAAGTTTAAAGACAACAAAGTTTTAAAAACAAAAACGCAACCAAAACACAGAAAATTGAACTGTACGGAAGTCTGACAACAACGAACCATTCAGCCAGACTGGTAAGAGGGGCGGAGTCAGCAGCTGAGTGGGCTCACGAAGGAAAAGGTGGCCGGCTGACCCAGGCACACAAGTGGCAGCTGACGGATCCTAGGTGTCGGGTGGCAACGGGCAGACCCAGTGAAGGCACAAGGAAGCTGGCTGACCCCGGTCACACATTCATGCGCAGATAAACCAAGCAAAGAAATAAGCAGTGAGACAGACCGCTCAGGCTAGGGCCCCAGCGATGGGATTTAGAGCCTGAAAG